TGCTTGCTGCCGAACCGCGTCATGGCCAATGAAGACGCGCCGCTGGTTCTCGTTAAAAATGAATGACTTCTGGCTACTTTGACGCTCTCGCCGCTTTCGGTTTGTGATCGCTCCTCAGTTTGTGTAGGATTCCCAGCGTTGTCGCTCCACCCCGCCTCCTTTCCCCGCTCCTCAATTTGTGATTTATACACTAGATATCGCATAGGGACCCTGAGTATGCGTCAATAGCGCCGCCACATTGGTACAGTGCCCCCAGGACAAATGTCATTCAACCGCACTAGTCAAGACAGTGTTATTACGTGAAGATGCGGGACTTTAGCGCTGTCTACGAGCGTAGTAACGAGCAAACAAATAAAACAAAGCACAAAGGCAGAACACTTCATAGGTAAGATTAAGTTTTTAATGTTTTTGTATGTTCTGAACTTTTGTGCTAATCAGGTAACGTTATTGATGATAACAGTCACTTACTGCATTCACCATAAGGCAAAGCAGCTCCAACTCGCACTAAACACTCGGCTTATGCTAGTTTTGTTGAATAAAATCAGCAAACTATGCAAAAAAATTTGACAACGAGATGCTGTGGTACCAGAAACTTGCATTATTGTCGGCTAGTGAACGAGTCGTTCATAACGGAGATTCATTCACAAACGAATCGCTCCCTCCGTCAGTATGAGAAGTGAAAGCAGGAGAGGAGCTGTGTTTCAGAACACGGATTAGATCAAATTTAACAGGAAGGGTGAATAGTACATTTCTGTACACACAAACACAAGCTTTTTGTCAGGAATGCCTGTGCGGTCACTGATCCATCAATGTAGAAAAGTAGAAAAATTATAGTTTTTATAATAAAAAAAAAATTGCATACTAACATCCAGGAAAACTCCCGATATATATGTATATGTGTATATCTCTGGCTCTGCCCCCCCCCCCCCCCCCCTTCAACTGGGGGCCCCGTCGGTGATCCCTGCAGGGGGGCCTCCGCATTTTGCGCTACGCCACTGTCTTTTGCACTTATTTACAGTTTATATAAATATATTTTAATTACACAAATGTCAAACCCCACCATCCCCTAGACCAGGGGTCTCAAACTCGCGGCCCGCGGGCCATTTGCGGCCCTCAGTGCAATATTTTGTGGCCCGCGCCGACCGCTGTACTCTGACAGAATCAGCGGAGCGGGGAGAGAGAGCGCTCCCCGCTCCGCTGATTCTATCCGTACACAGCACGCTTGTCACTCAATGCGCGTTGTCGCGCGCGTTCTGATCAGCTGATCGCGCGCGTACTCAAGAGCGGTGTTATCGCGCGCCTACTGAAGGGCGGGACCGAGGGTGTGTGGCGTCGCGGGGGCACTTTTGATCATTTTGGAAGGGCAATTTCTATGCAAGACTAAAAAGGGCATGTGCTCTGCACAGGTTGAGCCCTATGTGTGCACATGCCTGCCCTGCATCTTATATATATTATCAGCCTGATCTCACGAATTAGATCGTACGAATTCATACGAATTAGCCACTAAATGAAAAAGTTACGAATTGCCGTGAGATTGTGTTGATATTATAGGTAGATACAGACTGGTACAGACTGATGTGACTGGAGTGGGGTGGGGGTGTTTTATTTATACATATATACGCCTTTTTTTAGGTGAGGGAATGGAAGTTTTGAGTTCCCCCACTTTTTTCCCTAGGACTTCAATAAAACAAAGTACAGGTCTAGACTTAATGATGATCATCTTCAAGCCATACTGAGGGTCTCAACTGCTTCCGCTCTAAAGCCAAATGGTTCAGATTTGTGAGAAGAAGCGCTGTCAAGTCTCTGGCAGCAAGGAGTAGGCAAAAGATGCCATGTTCAGAAGAACTGTTCATAATCTTCACTCAATGTTCTATTAATGTTCAGGACACTTCATGTTCAGAAGAAATAATTAAAACTGTTAATAATGACATTTGAGGACTTTTTTTTGTGAAATCCCTTATGCGGCCCAGCCTCACCCAGACTTTGCCTCCTGCGGCCCCCAGGTAAATTGAGTTTGAGACCCCTGCCCTAGACTAACATCAGGGGTTTGTAACAATCTGTAACCCATTGCCCTATTTAGTCACCCTGTGTCTCACTAAAGTTGCCCAGAAAAACAGCTTAAAATGTTGCCCAGTGTATCAACAGCATTACTCTCAAACGACATATAATGACTGTAATCTAAATGTTTCCTCACCCGGTTGAGTCCCCATGGCTTTGTACACACTCTTGCAGACCTGCAGCAGAAGCAGCACCTTGTCAATGGGCGAATGACTGCGCTGCATTAGCATGAGCTTAGCCTTGGCTCGCTCTACTCCGCGAACGTCCAGGACTCCCACTCGTACAGCTAGACGCTCCAGCGCCCCCTCCTGGTGGGCCAGCAGACTCTCTGTAACCCGCTGTAAGGAGCCGTCCCGAGTGTGGAGAGACACCAGCGTCTGCTGCAGCTGAACCTTCAGCGGCTTCAACACGCAGCCAAACAGAGCCTTTTCCAGGGCTAGATCTGTGGGTCACGTGACAGGAAAAGACGTTTTATATTGTTAACAGGTGAGTGGGCTTGACAAACCACCTGTAGAAACACTATTTTCTCTCAAAATGAGGATTCATTTTATTGTAATGCAGAACAGAATTATGCTGCACACCATCAAACACAATAAAAACTGTGACAAATAAATGAGAAACGCTGAATTTGGCAAGTGAATCTACTATTCATTTTCCTTCGGCTTAGCAGAATGAACCACCAACTATTCCAGCACATTTTTTTATGCAGCGAGAAATCCTCAAAGGAACCACTTGAGAGAGTAAATAGTGTGTAGATTTTCATTTTAGGGTGAACCGTCTCTTTAGGGATATCTACAAGCTTGTGTGCTCCAAAATATTTCTCTAAGCTAGTGGGAAGATGTTTAGAAAAATGCTGGAAATGGGTAACCATTGACTTCTATTGTATTTGTTTTTTCCCATCATTTTTAAGGATATATGCAGTCTATAATCTACTGTTCTCCATAATGAATATATATTTAAGCTTTTGGGAAGATATCTAGAAAAATGCTGGAAATGGGTAACCATTGACTTTCATTGTATCTGTTATTTATACTGTGGATGTCAATGGTTACATTCATTCCTTCATTTTCCTTAAGCTTAGTCCATTTATTCGCCAGGGGTCGCCACAGCAGAATGAACCGCCAACTTATCCAGCATACTGTATGTTTTACACAGTGGATGCCCTTCCAGCTGCATCCCAGTACTGAAAAACACCCGTACACACTTACTTAAATCAAATAAGCAGCCTTCTTGTTGTGAGGCGACAGTGCTAACCACTAAGCCACCGTGTCGCCCTGTGAATCTACTATAAAAATGATAAAATAACTAAAAAAATAAATTCTTTAAGCTTTGTAAGCCATGAACTTGTCTCAAAGTCTCTGTAAAATCAAAGTTTAGTTTAGATGTTAGTATCACTATGTTAGTCTGAAAGGGATAGTTCACCCAAAAATTAAAGCTCTGTCATCATTTACTCTCCCTTTACGAGATTCTTTCTTCTGTTAAACATTAAAGACGATATTTTGAAAAATGTTGGAAACCTGTAACCATTGCCTTCCATTGTATTTGTTGTTTCTATATGGAAGTCAATGGTTACAGGTTTTTAGCTTTCTTCAATATAGTTTCTTTAATGTTCAACAGAAAAAAAAAAATCATAAATATTTAGAACCACTTGAGGTAAATAGTCTGTAAATTTTCATTTTAGGGTGAACTATCTCTTTAAGGATATCTATAAGCATGTGTGCTCCAAAATAGTGACAAAATTCCTATTAGGAATATTAAAACATTTGAAGCTTGCAGTTTGTAACTTCCACCTAAATCAGGGGTGTACAAACTCAATCCTGGAGGGCCGGAGTATATCTCCGACGTGCTTTAATACAGCTGTCAGGAAGTTTCTAGTATCTCTAGACCGAGTTTGGACACCCCACACCTAAATAAATCAACGTTTTTTTTTTTTTTTTTGCTTTTGTTTTTTATGTGACCTCATCAGTTTCATCAATCAAATTCTTTCTAGTATCTGAGATGACCCGCCTCTTCAAGTTGCTATTGCTATATGCGCTTGAGCTTAACTACTCTCACCGACAGAGCTGGGATATAAATAAATATATATATATATATATATATATGTCATAGATATTTCTTCAAACAATATTTAAAATGACAACGGAGATATGTAAGAAAACCTGTAACCATTTACTTTCACTGTATTTGTTTTTCCTAATGGTTACAGGTTTTCAGCATTCTTCAAAATGTCTCAGAACAGTTCTCCCAAAAACAAAAATTTTGGTATTTACTCACTTTTACTCGTTTCAAACCTTCATGAGTTTGGATATTTTGAAGAAAGCCGTAACCATAGGAAAAACAAATACTATGGAAGTCAAGGTTTTCCAGCATTTATCAAAATACCTTCTTTTTTTGTTTAACAGAAGTAATAAACACATAAAGGGTAATGTAAGGGGGGAGTAAAAAGTGACAGAAAATTTCTTTTTGGGTGAATTGTTCTTTTAAAAACTATAGAAGATATTTTTGAAGAATGCTGAAAACCTGTAACCAACAGTTATCATGTTGTATTATGTATCATATCATGTCATGATTATGAAGGTTTCATGACAGTCTTATGAACACCCCTTTCAAGTAAAGCATTGTCCAGATTCCATTAGGAAACATGATGATTATTTACGGGTGACACAGTGGTGCAGTAGGCAGTGCTGTCGCCTCACAGCAAGAAGGTCGCTGGTTCGAGCCTCGGCTGGGTCAGTTGATGTTTCTGTGTGGAGTTTGCATTTTCTCCCTGTGTTGGCATAGGTTTCCTCCGGGTGCTCCGGTTTCCCCCACAAGTCCAAAGACATGTAGTACAGGTGAATTGGGTAGGCTAAAACTGTCCGTAGTGTATGTGTGTGAATGAGAGTGTATGGGTGTTTCCCAGTGATGGGTTGCAGCTGCATAAAACAGATGCAGGTTAAGTTGGCGGTTTGACCCCTTGATGAATAAAGAGACTGAGCCGAAAAGAAAATGAATGAATGTAGCTATTGACTTCCATACTAAGAAAAACAAACACAGTGGAAGTCAATGGTTACCCATTTCCAGCATTTTTCTAAACATCTTCCCACTAGTTTATATATATATATATATATAATTTTTTATTTTCTTTGGAAATGATTATATACTGTATATATATACTTAAGGTGATAAGGTGATAGATAAAACAAAGGAAGTAAATTGTTACTTGTCACCAGCATTTTTTAAAGTATCTTCTTACTAACTTACAGATATATTTTGCCGCACACATGCTTATAGATATCCTTAAAGGGACAGTTCACCCTAAAACAAAAATGCACACAATATTTACTCTCTTAAGTGGTTCCTTTGAGGGTTTTTCGCAGCGTAAAACACACAGTATGCTGGAATAGTTGGCGGTTCATTCCGCTGTGGCAACCTCTAAAAATAGAGACGACAAGCCGAAGGAAAATTAATAAATGTTAAAACGTGTTGAAAAAAATCTTCTCTTGGTTAAACAGAAATTGGGAAACAAAATACTCAGGGAAGTGGGTAGCGCTCTCTTCTCTCAGCAAGAAGGTCATTAGTTCTAGCCTCGGTTGGGTCAATTAGATATGCTGGATAAGTTGTTGGTTCACTCCGCTGTGGCTACCCCAGATTAATAAAGGGACTAAGCCAAAGGAAAATTTATGAATGAATGAAACCATTGACTTCCATTGTAAGAAAAACAAATACAGTGGAAGTCAATGGTTACCCATTTCCAGCATTTTTAAAAATTTTCTCCCACTAACTTATAGATATATTTTGGAGCACACAAGCTTATAGATATCCTTAAAGGGACAGTTCAGCCTAAAATAAAAATGTACACCCTATTTACTCTTTCTCAAGTGGTTTCTTTGAGGGTTTCTCCCTGTGTAAAACATACAGTATGCTGGAACAGTTGGTGGTTCATTCCGCTGTGGCGCCCTCTGAAATAGAGACTAAGCCGAAGCAAAATAAATGAATAAATTAATGTTTAGAAATGTGTTAAAAAAATCTCTCTCTTTTAAACAGAAATTGGGAAACCAAATATTCAGGGGGTCTAATAATTCTTCAGTTGTTTATTATAGTGCAAATGCTTCCTCTGTAGAAATGCAAGCACTTTTTCATGCTTTGTGTCAGTAAGCAGTCAGAATGCTTACAATGCTATGGCAGCATGTAGAGCACAATACAGTAAGATATTATGACAGAATGCCTTCCTATACAGCGCAGAAGAGGAGAACACATGGCACAGATGCCTACTCATGTTCGCCTAAATCTATTTGGAGGAAGCGTTTTTATCCTCTAGCTCTATTTAAACGCGATTATGTCCACGGTAGTGAACGCACAGCCACCGAGCAGCTCGGAGAACAAAATAAATAAGCAAATTAATGTTTGCACGGCAGAAGAAAGAACCAGACATATTATAACTAAACAAGAAAATGTGTGCGCTGCGCCAAATCTCCTCCTTCTACTGTATCTGGTGCTGAAGCATGCGTGGGAATGTGCTGTGTGCTAATGATAAATGCAAAGTGGAAACTGCCAGTGCCTCCACCAACATCCGAAACAACATCCATCCCCAGGGACGTGGCCGGCTTTTTAGATTTCTTCCTTTGATTTGGAGGAGATATCTCATCAATCTGCTCGTAATCACTGCTATAAAAGATTAGATGTTTTGATTTGAGTGACGTGTTGTTCTGTGGTATGACACAGAGATACGGTTACTTAAACTTGTCTTAAAGGGGTAGTTCACAGACAAATGATCGACTTACTCAAATTCACTGGTACAAATCTGGTTGAGTTTCAAATCTTCTGTTAAACAGATACTTCGAACAATGTTGGAAACTAGTAACCAGGGCTGGATTAACGTAAGGGCTAGGTGGGGCTGAAGCAGGGCTGACGGAAGAAGGGGGCCCTTGATTGGTTGAAGAATTAATCTGCGCTATGATGCAGGAAACGCCTCTTTGCGTTGTGCTTTCTCTTGTCGATAATGTGAAGTATTCCTTTCGGTTCGCTGCTGTTCAAAAACAGTGACACCAGTGCTAAACTGGGGCTCAGAGAGGCTGTAGCACAATCAGAATATTGAATAGCCCTGTTTTAGTCACCCATTAGGGTGATGAGATGTCCCAAATTACCTATCACTTTAAAGACATATGCATTATACAATCTAGTGTTCATTAAAATTAATCCATAAGATAGTGTAGAACTATGTAGACAAATGCTGGAAACAGATAACTATTAGCTTCCACTGTATTTGTTTTTCTTTTATGGAAGTCAATGGTTACAGGTTTTCAGCGTTCTTCAATATATATATATATATATATATATATATATATATATATATATATATATATATATATATATATATCTAGATATATATTTAATTTTATAGCAGGGCTCAACGATAAGGACTGCCCGATGGCCCGGGGCCAGCATGAGAGATGCTCGGGA